AGGACCCTGAGATCTGTCTCACAGCCCAGCATCTCCAGCTCATGGCTTCCTATGGTACCACCCCCTTTCACCACACTGGTTCCTGTCTCAGGGCTTTTGCACTTGCTGTTTCTACTCTGCCTAGAATATGTGGCCTAGATCTTCCCAAACAGGCTCCTTTTCTGTGCCTCACTTTCAAGCCACCGGAAATGGCACACACTTGTCATTCAGCCCATTGTTTCCTGGAAACTATGTGCTCTGTGAAGGTCTATTGCTATGTTGTGACCTATGCTTAGCCCAGTGCAGAGCACATATCTGTTGCATGAATGTGGCTGTCACCCAGAGGAGGAAGCTGAGCTTCTGAGAGGCCAAGAAGCTTGCTGAGGTCACACAGGGCTGAGGATGGGGAGGGCAGGGCCATGTAGGCAGGGCAGGTGGCTTGTACGATAATTCCCACCTGAGGTTTCCAGAGATCGCTGTCTCCTGGTGCCCTAGCTTGGTTGGCTTTACTGTGCAGCTATGCATCTAGGTGTTAAAACTAGCACTGTCCTATAGAAAGACCATGTGAGCTACATGTCATTTTAAATGTTTTAGGATCTGGGTGGTGGTTTGCACCTGTAATCCCAGTTATTTAGGAGGCTGAAGCTGAAGGATCACAAGTTCAAGGCCAGCCTAGGCAACTTAGGGAGACTCTATCTCAAAATAAAAACTTAAAAAGGGATTGGGATATAGCTTAGTGCTCTCTGGGTTCAATTTCTAGTACCATCAAAGTAAATAAATAACTAAATAAATGTACAAAATAATAGCAAATGAAATGAACTGTAATCTTATTGCTTAATCTTTTTTTTTTTTTCTGTCTTTTTGAGACAGCGTCTTGCTATGCAGTTCATGCTGGCCTTGAGCTCACTTTGTGGCCTCGGCTGTTCTCGAACTTGCAATGATACTCCTGCCTCAGCCTCACTGAGTGCTGGGATTACAGGCATGCTCCACCAAGCCCGGCTTGTTTATTTAACTTAATATAACCAAAATGTCATTTCAACCTGTAATTAGCATAAAAACTACTAATGAGAAATTTTATTCTCTACTTTTGCACTAAACTAAAGTCTGTATTCTGACCAGCTATTAAAAAGCCTGATGATATACCCAGCTGGTGCTCCTGCCCTGGAGAGGCAACTTTATTGGTGAAGCCACCAAGTGTTCCTTAACATAGGCTGTTGTAGTCAGGGTTTGCAAGAGAAACAATTTAATACAGGACACATAATTTATAGGATTATTTTATAGTAGTCACCCAAAGAGTCAAATACAAAAGAGTGCAGGAAATCTGTCCACACACTAGACCCAAAGAATTTAGTTGAGGGCCTCGATCCCATGGCAATGTCCTGCATGAGTCCAGCTGAAGACCTAGAGTCCATGACAGTGCTCCTCATAAGTCCAACTGGAGGCCTAGAGCCCACGGCAATGTTTCATGCAAGTCTGTTTCACGAATCAGCACTGGGAAGGCCCAAAAGTTAGTGGTGGAAGCTAGAAAGTCTGCGCCAGCGGGATGAAGGATCTGTGTCAGAAGGCTGCAGGATCTGCACTGGAGCCAGGAAGTGATGCTCAACGTAAGAACCAGAGCTCCCCTGAAAAGTACCACAGCCATCCTCAGTGGCAACAAAGTCCTGAGTTCCTCCGATGATGACAACAACCAAGTTCATATCAGGAAAGCCAGCTCGGCAAGCTTCTCCAGGAGACTGAACAACACACTGTCTTCTCCCTGTGGAACCAGGAAGCTATGTTCAAAGTAAGGACCAGAGCTCCCCCAAAGTGAACTGCAGCCATTCTCAATGACAATAAGGTCCAGAGCTCCTCCATATGAGAATAGCGGAGTTCATATCAGGAAAGCCAGCATGATAAGCTCCTCCAGGAGAACCAACAGCCCCCTTTCTTCCTCTCCACTTCTCCTTTTTATGTTGCTGGCAACAATCCTCAGGTGGGCCCTTCACACTCAGCACCGCTGATTCAGGTCAGCTGGGTATTACAAGTTGACCAACAGTTGTCAATCCACCACATAGGCCTTTCATTCAAAAAATATTCACAAGATGATTACACGCTTGTGTGCTGTTTTAGACTTCATTTGTGCTTGTGTATTTAAAGGAGAAAATAAAAATACTTAATAGGGAGTGAAAAACAACATGGAGAGTGCCTTCCCACCCTGCTGGCAGCTTATCTCCCCTTCTGGGGAGCCTGAACTGGAAAGGCCTGATCCTTAGCCTCGGGGCCTGAGATAATGACTTAATTAACGCTTGCACACAGGCACGTTTGATCTTCAAGGAGCTGGCCCACATGGCTGAGCTGCTTCTGGATTAATTGTGCAGAACTAAGAAAGCCTTGCCCAGAGATAAAGGGATGATATTTCGTCACTACAAATTGTCCTGAAATCTGCTCTGGCACTGGGGCCTTAGCCTGGATTCAACACCCAGCTGGCCTTACCTGAATAGCAGCCCAGTGTCAGTCACACTGGCAAGGGTCCCAGGCCTCTAGGTGTGTGCCAGGGCTTCTCCTGGGACAGAGAAGCTGGGCTGCCATGGACATCTCTGTGCAGGGTGACAGCTATTAGTCCCCCATTTTCCAGATGAAGAAACTGAGTTTAGGGCAGGCTAGGGACAAATCATAACAATGAGGCCAAGGTCAAGAGAGAACTTGGATATCCCTCCTGTGCCCCACCCTACCTTGGGATGGGCTCTGCTGGGTCAGCCCCACTGCTAGGAGACAATATCTGCCTTCAGAGTCCTGGCCATAAGCCCTAGTTACAATGCAGTTACCTGGTCACACCAGCAATTCCAATTTTGGTATTCATGGAAGATCCTGGGGTGGGAGTCTTACAAGTCTGCAAATGGGTCTCAATGTATGTTTTAGGTTTGCTAAATAGGTGTGAAATGAACTTGTGCAGGGAAAGAGCTTGGCACCAGCCTGGCACAACCCAGGTGCACAGCAAGCATCAGTTACTACTACTAAAATAACAACAACCCCAGTAATTGAGCACGTACTAGTGCCAAGTCATGGAAAGGGCACTGGCCGTGCAGAGTGGGGATGGGTTGGGGTTGGTTTTAAGGTGAAGAGGGGCTATATATGAACAAAGCATTGGGTTCTGGAGGAAAGGCTGATCCTCTTTCTGGGGTCCTGGTAGTGTCTGGGGGACCTGCAAGATGCAGACACCGGTGAGGCACCGCGGATGCCTGGGCCCTCTTTCAGCCCACTTGTTGCACCTGACACCTTAATTATGGGCCCGCGGTCAGGTCAGGGCGTGCACGGGAGCCCGAAGTTGGCCGGAAGCGCGGGCCCCGGGGGCGACCGGACTCTCTGCCGCCAGGTGCACCTTCTCTCCTACCAGTACCCGCCGCCCGGAGCTCTTCGCTGCGCCCGCTCTTTCCGCCTGGGGCCCTCTGGCTGACCTCTGGCGCCCACAGTCTCCCGGACGCGCGCCCGTTAGTAGGGCCGAACTTTTTCCGCTGGCAGCGCATGGGCGCGATTTCTCCGACATCAGCCAGCAGTCAGCCTCCGAGCCTAACCCGTAGAGCCAAGGCCTGGGCGGGGATGCCCCGCGGAGCCTGGAGTGCCGCGCCCACGCGCTCGGGCAGCGGCGCCCACGCCTCCTCCGACTCAAAGTATATTTAGCCTCATTATCAAATGTTTGCAGTGAACCGTGTGAACCGCCTAATAGCGGCTGGAAGTGAAACTCGACTCCCAGCCAGAAGGAAGCATGTGATCCCTTCCGCCCGCTGGGATCACGACGCGTAGGGCAGGACAGGTGCTGCGGGATCCCGCACGCGCGACTCCGCTCGGCCGGCTGGCTCGGGTCGCACTTCTCCCTTCGCGGCTCCAAACCTGAACATTCTTCCTCACATTGTCTCCCTAACAGGGGCTGAAATAAGAGGTCTGGAGTTTGACTGGAGGGAGGGGCAGGGGGGAGAGGCCCACGAGGCGAGGTACTCATCCAGGCCTGTGGCCTCTTGGAGAAGGCAGTCCTACCAAATCTGTATTTCCAGTTTCCAGAAAACGGTGTCTAGGGGTTCACTTTTTCCTGACCCTGGGGGAGGGGCGCTTTGGGAGATCGAGTCCCTGTCCTTGTCTCAAGCAGAGCGCCCGGGAGCCCGAGGGCGCGTGCGCCCCCCGCCCGCCCCCCCCCCCCCCCCCCCCCCCCCCCGCGTCTGTCTCGCGGCTGCCCAAGTTCTCACCACTCTCCTGCGGTCGCTGTTGTCGCCATGGCGACGGGTCGCTGTTTTATTTTTAATAGCTGCTGGCGATTCAAGAGATGCCTGCCACTCGCGCCCCGCAGCTCCCGCGTCCCGGGGTGATGCGCCCGGGCTCCTGCCCAGGGCGCCCCTTTCTGCCTCCCCGGATCTTCCCTGCTCGCCTTGAATTCCAGCTGGGCTCCCCTATAGCGCCAGGCGGGTAAGGTGGGCAGAGCGAAGCAGAGTACAGGCGGGGTCCCAGGAACCCGCAGCTCCATGCGGGGGTTAGGGCCGGGAGGACGCGGTATCTTGTCCGCAATGCAACGCGACCTTCCTCCCAGATTCCCACGCCCGCTGTCACTCGGGGTCCTTGAACCCCAAGGAGGTGTCCTCGCGTCCCCTCTGCCCGCGAGGAGCCCAAGGCCGAGCGGGTCACGACGCGCGCAACTCCCGGGATAAGAAGGTGAGGGCTCCACCCAGGGTCGCCTTCCAGAAAGCCCCTCCGGAGAAGCAGGAGGCTCCACCCGGACAGACGACCGGGCTTTCAGGTGCTTCTCCACCTTTCCAAGTTTCCCCTGCTCTGCGTGGTCCTCCTTCCTGACCATCCGAGGGGTCGCGGCGGGGACGGGGAGTAGGAGACTGCGGGCATGCGGAGGCCTGTGGAACTGAGTGTAGACACGGGAACTCCGGGAGCAGTAGGGGAGGACCCGCCCCCAGATATTTGAGGGCTGGCGAACGCCCCCGGAGCGCCCTCCCTACTCTGCCTTTGAAATGCAGGAGTCCACCGCGCTAGGGATGAAAGGCCCTCGCAGGGCTGCGGCTTTGTCCGGAGGGTGGGCGGCCGTGGCGCGAGGGGGGGAGGCGGTGTTAATCCACAGGAGGGAAGTGATGCCTGTGTGGGCGGAATCCTCGGCTCCCCTCCCATCAGGTGTCTCCTAGTGTCCAGGGCACAAGGTCTAGCTTTGGGGTCCACAAGACACCCCCCTATACAACCGGCAGCATGCCCCCTTGAAGGAGAGCACCTCGGCTAGCCGTCGGGTTGCATTCCCACCTGTCTAGGCGGGTGTAATCCACGCGCGCCCTTTTTTGAGAAAGGAGAGCGAACCGTCCAGCCGCGGTCCGAACCGGGTCTGTGCCTTGCTCCCCGCAACGCGCTCGGTGCTGCGCCTTGGCCGGAGGTGGCGCTCTGTGCACCCGGATTCCGACGCAGAACCCAGGGGTTGCTCAGTAGCCTCTCTTTTCTCTTCGTTCCGTCCAGCCCCAGTTCCCGGCTCAGGAAGTGGCCTGGCTTCTCGCGAGGGAGTGGGTACTTGGCACAGGGCCTCAGGGTGGGGATGAGGCAGGCTGCAGCCCCCCTCTCGGATCTGGGTTTCTTCCCACCTCGAAATGTGGTGGAGGCTCCTCAAGCAGGTGCCCCAGGCTTCGGATCTTGGGCGGGGGCGCGTGGCAGCCGCCAGGTGAGTGCCCCAGACTCGCCCCTAAACCGGCCCCACCTCTCCCCAGAGACTCACCCCCCCTCCTTTTATGGAGAGGGGAAGGCAGGGGCCCTGGGACCCAGCGGTGGAACGCGCCCAAGCGCAGCGCCGGGCGGGGGCCAGGCCAGCTCTCATGCCCTTTTTGGCGCAGCGGCCTTGGGCGCTGCCCTCTGCTGCCGCCGAGGCCCGAGAGAGGCGAACCGCCGGCGGCAGCGCTTCTGCGGCGGCCTCCTCCCCTCCCCGCCCGGTGCCGCAGAATTGCAGCTGGCACTGGAGGGTGGGCAAGCTCGAGGGAGGGGCGCGCGAAGAGCCCCGGCGCGGGGCTCTGATGGATCTCGCTGCCCGTGTGAGCGCGTGTGTGGTCACTGCAGCGGCGGCCGTAGCCGGGCCCGGCCCAGTCTGCACGACCCCCTCAGGCTTCCGAGGTGCGGGTCCGGGCCCGGAATCCGAGGGAGGCGGGGGCGGGGGCGGGGCGCGGCGGCGGCGCTATAACCCCCTCCCCGCCGCCCGCGGGCTCCACACGCGCGTCCTGCGGAGCCCTACAACTCCATCGAGTCGGGCCTGCCAGAGCCTCCACCTCCTCCTTTCCCCGCGGCGGCGGCGCCGGCTCCAGCTCCGGCTCGGCCCTGCGCCCGCCCTCAGGCCCGCGCGG